CGACGCATTTTTTTATATTAGTAATACATCATTGTTTTAGAAGTTTACAATAAGAATGTCCTCCATCTATTTCCGATCCTTATTAGTCTCATGATGATTTTCAAAAGAACGTTATTGGTTAATTCAATAAATCGTTCAGTTACATTTGTTGTTGTTGAGAAGTGATGTAAGGAATTTCTCGAAAATTTGTAATATCTGGTAATGTTGAGTTTCTATTCGAAAAAGAAAAGATTATTGAACTATTTACTGATCCAATTAGTCTATTCTTTTCAAATAGTTTCATTGGGAATACTTAATATCAAAGGAAACAATGCCATAATACCATGTTTGCGATGAATTTAAATGAAAATATTGAAAAACTCTATATTTCATGTTTCTGAGAAAGAAAATACTTCAATTTATTTAATTGAATTGGAATTGAAAACTTCTGCACTTTCTTGTTTATTTCAAATTGGTCTCACACCCAAACTTGTTCATCCTTTGCAAAACTCTCCTCGGAGTTTTCACAAAACAATCGGCGAGGATCGAAGAAGAAAAAAACGTTTCACACACTCGCTCATCATCAATTCTCTTTCTCCTAGTTATAGAAGCGAGTTGAAAACAAAACCTTCCATCATCACATCACAACACAATATTAAATTTTTGAAGAGAGAGAAAATTATCTTGTTTTGAAATATTTATTTATTATTATTATTATAATTTTGTTATCATAGATAAATATATATACATTTTAGAGGTTTGAAATGGCTCCGCATCAATATCATTTCAATACGATGGATTCGTCCGAAACTACTACAGGCTCATCAATTATTGTTTCACCAACATTTGACCAAGCCTTTTCATATCAACCATCTGCAGGAATATTAATTAATAATAATAGTAGTAATCACCATGGTAATAGTGTAGAACAAAATGGAATGTATTATTCTGCTCCTAATTATGATGATATTCAAGCAGGATCATATCCACCAAAATCTAAAAAGAAGTCATTGTTTAGTAAGATATTCAATAAGAAAAATCATGAAGACCAAGAAGAAGAAGTTGTCTTCTTTGATTCAACTGGTCAACGAGTTCCAATAGATACAACAAGGAGAACTGATGAAGGTTCTACTCTTGTAGTAAATGATATGAATCATGATTATTTTGTACCAAAAAAGAAATCAACTAATAGTTTGGAAAATGTAAATTCAATTAATACTTCAAATGAAAATTTACCTGATGAGGAAAAGGAAGCTCGAAAATTGAAGAGAAAACAGAGACAAGACAAATTATGGAAGGAATTAATGAGTATGAAAAAGACAGGATTATTTTTCTCAATTTGGAATTTAATTAATGATGTTATTAGCCCAGGTACTGTCAGTATGCCTCAAGTAGTTGCATCCA